TCAGTAAAGAACCACGTCTCAGATCCATTAGCCATAACTGGCAATACGCACTGGTTGTACAAAATCGTTTTACTGTTTTTAGGTATGATCTGACGAGAAGATGTGTCGTAATTTACCGAACGTTGTCCGGCCAAGTTGAATTCGTCAATTGAGCTCTCGGTTGAAGTTAAACTTACCTAGTCGGACTATTTTCCCTGATAAACATACTTGTCAACAACTTCAAGCTTAGAGCTCCTAACATCTACCGGCATAGGTGTGACATCGATATTACACATGAATGACATTATACATTCGACATTGTATATTTGTTTTGTCCACGTTCACTTTAAGACCTATCCCTTTGGAGACACTATTGAAGTCATTGAGGATAGTGCTTAGGTTTTCCAGCGATTCTGCTATAAAGACCATATCGTCAGCAAATCGTAAGTGATTAATGCACTCGCTATTGATGTTATGATTGATGTCATGTTAATGCCGTATCCTTTCTAGTCCAGTAGCTCGAAAACGTATTCCAATGCAGCGGTGAAGAGTTTCGGGATATAGCGTCCCCCTGTCTTGCATATCTCTGCATTTGGATAGTTTTCGTACTCTGGTTTTTGTACTTGGATAGCCTTCGCAACCCTACTGTACAAACACTTTAGTACTTTAATATACCGAAAGTCAACTTGGCAACGCTGAGGATACTGTAGCACTACCCAAATTGCGACGGAATCAAATGCTTTCGTATAGTTCAGATACGCTACACAAAGTAGCAAATTTTACTTTTTCGGTCTTTTATACAACTTGCCGAAGGGTATGTATGTAGTCTACGGTACTAAATCTTTTTCGCAAACGGGCTTGTTGAGCAGGCCGAAAGTCGTCGAGTCTGCGTGCGAGACGGTTCGTAATTAATCTCGAAAACAGCACATAGACGTGGCTCAGAAGGAAAATCTGTCTGTTGTTCTTCAAGAGAGCCTTGTCGCCTTTCTTAAAAACAAAACCACTGCACTACTGCTCCATGCCTACGGAGTAGTTTCACCAGGTAGGATAATGACACTAAATTGCTCTGATAATTCTATGTCAGTAAATTGTTTTGTAGATGTCGTTCATATGTAATCGTATACCGACGATGTATATATATTTATAGTAAAGTAAACGTTCAGCTTTCATGACCACTTTTTATTCTCTTCTTCTTTCAGCCACTCAAACCAACAATGTTACCATTGCTGGAAATACGTGGCGCTTTTTTGGGAGCCAGGTTTTGTGATAAGAGGTTTGTAAGATCACTTGAACTATTAATTTGGACTGATCTTACACATTTTAGACAAAGGTGAATTACATCTTGTGAAGGATATGTTAAATAGCCTTCGATATTAGATGAAAAAATATTTCTTATGCTTATAAATGAATTTGCACTACTTATATATATATATATATATATATATATATATATATATATATATATATATATATATATATACTAGGTATTTTATAGCCATAATTCATAAATTTCTTGAGTAGTAGCCATTGAATTCTGGAATTGTGGTAACTTTAAATTCTGTTCACAATACTCTATTGCTGTTGCTACTTAACTTAATAATAACTGTTATGCTAGTTTAATCTTTATTTTCTGTTTGAAGTAACTGATATAACGGAAGGTTAATTTGTTTGCTTAGTGAAGGCCTAATTGTGTCTTTAATTCGTAAAGAGCTTTTATGTAACCAGTCATTTTTTTAAACGCTCTATCGACGAGGACTCTTTTTTCACCGAAAAAGTTGTGAATCAGTTTAAATAAATAACATAAATCTAAAATTACAAAATATTTTTGACCGTTATGACAAATGTGATTTAAAATTAGATCCAAAAGAAAAATCGCCACCTAACAGCCGGATCATGTTTATCATGTTAGGATTACGTTTTCGGTTTGTGTGGATGTGTGTGACATTTGTGAATGGTCGCATGGCTGAGATTGTGTATAAATGAGTTGTGATTGACTGAGCAATTGTGGTTGTACTTGGCGATCATTTTCACTTGTGTTTTGTGTGATATTAGTTTCTACATAGCTGTTAGTCGCTTCTTCTTGAATTAATTGTGTTCGTACTTCTTCTTTTAATTGATCTATAACTTCTTGGGATAGAAGTTTATTCCTAACTATGGTTCTTCTTTGGTCTGAGATTCTTTGTTCTGAAACAGTAATTTCTGGATATTGTCGAGTGAAATGTGCGTGTAATTGTTGTCTGTACGTGGTCATATCGGTCTATAATTTAGTAATGTATAGATAAGTTCTCACGATAAATAGATTTACTTCTTTACTCCATTTCATTCGAACTCTTGCTTTTCCAGCCTTGGTGGACGCGGTAAGAAGGTAGATACTCCCGCGCAGCACTCAAGGTCGGAGTAGGTGGAACTGTATTTAAACTAGTAATAGGGGGTGATGGAGGTGTTGGTGACGATGGTATGGATGGTGATGTTGGTCTCGAGGGTGTGTATGATACTGTGCTTGGACTATATGGTTCTACAGGGGTGTCTGTCCTGTCCGTCAGTCTGTCACCATCCTCAATGAGTTCGGCTGTAGTATCTTTGTGGGTGGGAGCCCGCCTGTTCAACTCCTCACCGCTGACGGATCGCATGCTGTAACACCCAGCGTCAGCTCCAGGTGCACCCCAACGATCGCCCCCGGGTAGCGGCCCTATACGTTTACTTTTAGAACGAGTCTCCATTTTATTTATGGGTTTCCAGAGCCACGTTAGCCACGCCAGTAATTTCTCATTCGTGTGTCCGCCCCCCACGTGATTAGATGGTCAATCAGGACGTGTGGTTGTTTAGGGGTCTTATTATTATTATTATGTGGGGTATCTATATAGTTTTCTCATCTGGTTGGGATGTATTATTATATAATTATAAACGAAAATGAAAAGATAAATATACATAAATATCAATAAAATAAAATAAATAAAAAAATACATAAATAAATAAAAGCCCAACCAGATGGAAGCCCTCGGCAGGGCAGACCAAACGGCCGAGGGTTAGGGGGAAAGGGAAAGAAACCGGCGGACGATGCGGGCGGTATCGAGGAGCACCGCCTTCTGCATTTGAACCTGGAGCGGTCCGCCACGTAGTCCCAGCCGCCTCAGATGACCCGAGAGGCTGACTGGGATTAGCCCATTTGCAGAGACGACTACGGGAATAATTTCGGTCGGCAGACCACCCCACATGTCGGTCACCTCGTGAGCCAGGTCCAGATATTTTGTTTGCTTATCTGTTTCGGCTTTCACGAGGTTCTCGTCACACGGAATGGTAATGTCGACCAAAAATATCCTTGACTGTGCACGGTCCATCAGCACAATATCAGGCTTATTCGCAAGAATAGTCCTGTCTGTTATGATGGCCCGGTCCCAATAGAGCCTGGCGCGATCATTTTCGAGCACGGCTTCCGGCAAGTACTTGTAATACGGCAACTTCCGATCCACGAAACCGTATTTCAGAGCGAGCTCCTGGTGTAGAATTCTGGCTACTAGGTTGTGCCTGTGCAAGTACTCACGAGTTAGAAAGCGCCGAACAACTGGAGATGACATGCCTAAGTGACTCACCGGGATGGCGACAAGCTCGACAGATGTCGATGGTGCCATCCTTTAGGATGTATCTCCGATAGTTGTTGGTCTTAATAACCTGATCCTGTATTGCACAGACAAAACCCCTCGGTTTCCCCGAAGAGGTCACCAAAGCGTAGCCAGTGGAGGGAGGTTACTGTGTCTACGAAAGGCCTATGTAGAGACTTGTAGAACCTCCCGTGAAGCTCCTTCTCCTTCCATACGGTCTCCTGGTCGGAAATTGTCTGCTCTGCCGGGTCTTGCCATTGCTCGTTGGCTAAGGATATAGGGGTAAGTCCTTTATCACAAGAAATGACGTCCTTATAGAACGTCATGGTAGTGCGGACTTTTCTATCCAGGGCGTTAAGTTCAGTCTGAGTCCACCTGAGTATGCCAAAGGTATACATGAGGACAGGCATGACCCAGCCGTTATATGCTTATGTCTTATACACAGGACAAAAAGCTGTTAAGCACTTTGGTCAAGCGTGCATAAAACACGTCGCAAACTGACTGTTTCATACCAGCCTCATCGATTCCGATGTTCTGTGACATACCCAGGTATCGGTATGTTCCAGCCTCGGAAAGGGTCCTTAAGTTGACGGGCATAGATAAGTCTATGCCCTCAGAGTTAGCAACCCTTCCCCTCTCAACATGGAGTACCGCACACTAATCCGTCCCCAGCTCCATTCCAATGGAATTGCTAAATTCACAAGTGATGTTTAGCAATTCCATAAGATGGGAGCGACTGGAGGGGAATAACTTGAGGTCATCCATATAGAAAAGGTGGGTCACTTTTGTCCCTCCTTTCCGTAGCTGAAATCCCCTCCCGGAGCCCTCCAGTAAGGTACTGAGAGGGTTCAGAGAGAGGCAGAACCATATTGGACTCAGACAATCGCCCTGGAAGATTCCCCTTCTTATCCTTATGTGGTTCTCCGCAGCCATCATCCGCTCGCCCAGATAACAAAGGATCGTACTCCACTGCCCCATACACTGCTCGAGGAAGTCTCTAACTGTAAAGTCTATCTTGTACAGTTCGAGGACTCTCTTTAGCCATGTATGGGGCACCGAGTCGAATGCCTTTCTGTAGTCTATCCAGGCGGCGGAGAAGTTCCGACGGTTGCGTTTCACCACTTTGCCAATGACCGCGTCAATGAGGAGTGGTTCCTTGGTTCCACGACCGCCGCCCCGACATCCATTTTGAGCGCGCGACGTCACCTGATTTGAGTCCAGGTGACGAGTGATTCTCGCGCTCAAAATGGATGTTAGTGTCTTGTATATGGTAGGTAGACATGTGATGGGGCGGTATTTGCTCGGGTCTGTGGTACCCTGGCCTTTAGGAACCAAATGGGTGATCCCAGTAGTGAAGAGGCTCGGGAGCGACTTCTGGTTGAGAACCTCTTGAAACTGTCGGGCAAGCACAGTGTGACACACCACGAACCCCTTCAGCCAGTAGTGATGCAGCCCGTCCAGTCCCGGACTTTTCCAGTTCGGGGCCCTACGGACCGCCTCAGCTACGTCATCCGGCGTTATGGTGACGGGGTCCATGGGCGTAATACCCGCACACTGACTCGCCACAACTTCCATCCAAGGGCCCTCGTTGTGGTTTACGGGCTCTGACCACAGGCTGCGCCAGAATGCGACCGTGTCGGCCTGATTCGGTACTGGGCCCGTTCCACTTACCATTGGTCGCTCCAATGATTTATAGAGCCTCTTCTGATCACTCTGGAAGAGACGATTCTGGTTGAACCGTGTCGACCTCTCGGTATATCGCCGAATTCGCTTTCCCCAAGCAGCGATTCTCTGCTTCAGGTCGTCTATGCGCTCCGTCAGTTTTTGCATTATTATATATATAATTTGCATTATTATATATAGACAAACTAACATTTGTCCCAGCAAACGCCATCCTGACGGTGCTCACAATCCTTGGCCTGGTATTGCCTGACCTGAAGCATATCAGTCTGCCGATGAGGGCCCTAGCCTTTGCGATACGTTCTTCAATTCTTGTTCTCCAGGCTGGGATAGCACTACTTTGTCCAGTAGTGCGTCCAGCCGTGGAAAGTTTGGCGCCTATAATACGGCAGACTGCCAGTGCGGCGCCAAAGAGAATTGAGTCCGTCTCGCAAAGGTCCCGGCTGGCTTCCAAATAGGTCACTAGTATTGGGTTCAGAGCCCTCACGACAGCCCGATTCCGCTTGCTTAGGGCTATGCGGGGGAAGTCGCGGTCGATTTTCGAGAGGCGTACTGCGCGTTTCCATAATCGCCTCTTCCAATGTACTCCTCATTTGCTCTATTTCTAGTTCCTGGGTGAATGTTCCATCATCATTTGAATCAGCAACCACTGGGGTATTCTCGGCGGCATCCACGTGTGCGGGTTGTTCTGCAACTTCTGGCACCGCACCCCCAGTCGTAGCGTTTTCATTTGATGAGGGAACAGCCTCACGTCGTAACCGTTCGAGTTCGGCGCCATCAAATATAATTGAGCGTAAGATATACCGAACTCGGTCTGCCAGGTTTTGCTCGGTGACAGTAATAGATGGCTCCAGCTCAGTAAAAAGACGATGCATCCTAGCCCGATACGCGAAACTTCTAATTTTTCCCCCTTTCGCCCTAAAATACGCCCGCAGTGCGTTTGTATTCATATTGATGGTCCATCGCATGCGGCGTACTCCACCAGTGGCGGGTGCCGATTGCTGGGTCTGCGAAGACCCTGCCGACATCAAGCAAGCAGGTGGGGATGATGGATGCGAGGGGCTGCTGGGTGGCCGTGCAGCACCTCGCGCTCGGCTGGCGGTTCGCATGCTGTCGCGTCCAGCGCCAGCTCCAGACGCGCCCTGACGACCTCCAGGCAGCGGCCCTTTGTGCAATCTTCTGTGTTCCATCATCCATACGGGGCGTCATTTAACGGGAGACGCCCAGACCCGGCGCCGTTTCATGGTGAGGCCATATGCACAAGCGGGCCCTTGCACCATCAATTTTTGCCGAGGCACGGCGCTCACACCTCTTGGCAAGGTGCTGACTGACTGCGCGGACGTAGCGGTTTTGTCACATAACCGTCACGTCAGCGGGCGATGGGGTCGTCACTTCCCTACGCCATTATTATTATTATTATTATTATTATTATTAACCCTAGAACTATTTTTTACGATATTAATACAACTTGACAGTAATTGTTGCAGTCTATCAAAAGTCCACTGCTGAACATGGGGGAAGAATAGATGTATCATTGGGAGGATATTTACTACGATTAGGAGGGTTGGCAACCGCAGTTTTTAGCTATTTTCAGTAAGACGCTGACGCAGTTTATATGGGGTGGTGGTTATCCTTACATTGCCGCTACACGCTCAATAGCTTGATTATTAAAATGTTATTTTTAAACGGGATGGTGATTACTAAATGAAAATAATCCAATTTCGTAATGTTTTACACATAATTAAATTACACTCAAACACCTGTACACGAAAAACAAATGCTAGGTAAATAAAATCATTTATAGGAATTTTCCGTATTTCTGACTTCTTAAAAAGTCACTAGATTTTTTTGTTTTTTTCATGTATATTGTATGTCAGAACGCTGTCAAGTACAATTTGGCCATTGTGCTTTTGCTTCCTTAGTATATAATATATACTTGACTATGTATTGGCCTTTGGCTGATTCCTTTTGTAGAATAGTCCCATTTGAAGCTTATAAGAGGTTTGAATTGGGTCCGATGTTTCAAGGACTAATTTAAAACAACAAGAGCCAAACTAATTACCTTTCTCTGTAAGGTTGGTGTCACAATTAAATAAGTCAAAAAATCAAAGTATTTTTTTGTAATTAAAAAGCGTATTATATCAATTTGTATTTTTATAAAATTTGGGTTAAACATTCTGCCTTATCACATAAGTAAGGGTGAAAAACAGGCACAAAAATCCACCTGATGGTGAGTAGATACGTATTTTCCATAGATATCTGTGATCGGTTAAGATTAACAATATAGACACGTTATTACACCTCAGGTAATTTTTTTAGATATACTAATCCCTTGCTCATCAGTAAAAACATCTACGGTTCTTTCACTTACTATACAAAACACAACGGCATTATGCTGCGATTTAATGTTATACATACTTTCATTCCGCGGAAGCACTGTTACTTCACCAAAGCATGTTAGATCCACATACCACGTTAAATTAAGATTTATTTAAATATTATTAACTAAACACTAAAATAATAAAGATGAACCCTGAAGATTACTTATTGATTTAATAATTGCAAGAGTTTCCAAAAACTTTGAAATGGTCTTGTACTATATCTCCATTTTTAAAATGACAGCTATTACGTTTGCTATATATATATATTGTTCTTGTTCTAGGATTGTTTAATTCTTATCTCTCTGTTTTGTTATTTACTCATTTCCTTGTAGGCAGTATTTATTGCCGTAAATTGCTTAATAAGCTTGTAGTGAATAATATTGTACACGAAGAACGTAACGTATCGTATGACATGTTTCAATCAAAACCCACTCCAATCTTTTCCGGTATTGTATCTGTTATATTTTATTAGCAATAAGAAAAAAGATTGAATAAAACTAAATTTATGGATTCTATCGCGTTTATTTAACTGATTTTACTTATATTTAATTCCCGACGTTTCGGGTGCTTTACAGCAACCATGGTCACGGAGGGGACTGAGATGTTTGAAATCCCAATGTCATCGTTAGCCCGGCTACTTTCAGTTTTTGAATATTAATTTTTGGTCCGATTTACACAAAACGAACTTACAGTATCTTGAAGTCTTGCAGTGGTATGCTTGGGTTTGGGTCTAATTTTGTTAATTATAGGATCCCAAAGAGATGGCAGCACCCAACCATCTTCTCTATTGAAATTAGGATGTTTTTTAATTTCAATAGCCTCGCTTATCATCCTTGGTAGGAACAGGTGTTCTTTTGCAAGAATTTGTGGTTTATCAAATCTGATGTAATGGTGGGGACGATCTTGAACATGTTCATAGACTGCAGACTTCCCGGAGCGTCGGTGCTTCACGTCAGCTATATGTTCTTTCACGCGGGTTTTTATGGATCTTTTTGTTTGACCTATGTAAGAGAGACCACATTCACAATCTAACTTGTACACTCCCGCATCTTGTAGAGGGATATTACACTTGACGGATGGTAAAAATTGGCTAATCTTCTTCGGCGGCTTGTAGTATGTTTTAATGGAAGCTCGCTTCAAGATGTAGTCAACCTTGTCTGTGAATCCTCTGACATATGGTAGTACAGCAGGCACACGCTCGACTGTGGCCGGCATCACTCGGTCACTGTGACGTAAGTGCGGGATCCGAAGCTTGTTGTCTTGCAACACTTGCTTGACATGCTGCAGCTCGGCGGCCAGATGTTTTCTGTCACAGATCCCTCGTGCTCTCTGAAACAAAAATTTACCCACGGTAGCTAACTGTGAAGGATGATGGTGAGATTCACCATTTAAATATCGGTCGGTATGGGTTTTTTTCTAAAAACAGTGTGACCAATAGTGTTATTAGGATTTCGAATGACTAAAACATCTAGGAAAGCTAAAGAATTATTTGCCTCTAAATCCATTGTGAATTGTATTTTAGAGTTTATAGAGTTAAAGTGGTTTAAAAATATTGTTACTCTGTCAGATGGTAAAATTGTGAAGGTGTCGTCTACGTACAGCTTGTAGAATCTTGGATTTACAGAAGCAGTAAGAAGGGCTTTCTCCTCGAAGTCCTCCATAAATATGTCGGCGACTATAGGAGATACAGGTGAGCCCATCGCTACACCATCTACTTGCTTGTAGAACTCTTCCTTCCACAATAGACAGCCAGATGTGAGGCAATGTTTGAGTAATACTGCATATTCAGCAGGCATGTTGTTATCTTTAGTTTCCTAGTTACAATTGAGATGCAATCTTCAATAGGTAGGCATGTGAATAGTGACTGAACATCAAAACTGACCATAGTTTCATTATCAGCGAGATGTAGGTCTTTTATCTCACTAACCTAATGGTATGAATTCTTTGTGTGTGCTCCGGTATGTCCTCTCAGTGGTGACAGTATTTTTGCCAAGTGTTGTGCCAGCTTATAAGTTGGTGAATCGATCTGGCTCATTATAGGACGTAGTTTAGCGTTTGGTTTGTGTATCTTCGGTAACCCATACAACCTTGGTGGTTTGGTACATGATGGTATTAGCGAATTCACGTCGAGATTTAATTTTTCGGAGTATTTCTTTATTAAATCGCTAGTTGCTTTAAGCGTGTTAGTTGTGGGGTCTGTTTTGGCCTTTTACGACTAAAGACAGTTTTAACGAGGTTTGAATTGGGTCCGATGTTTCAGGGACTAATTTAAAACAACAAGAGCCAAACGAATTACCTTTCTCTGTAAGGTTGGTGTCAAAATTAAATAAGTCAAAAAATCAAAGTATTTTTTGTAATTGAAAAGCGTATTATATCAATTTGTATTTTTATAAAATTTGGGTTAAACATTCTGCCTTATCACATAAGTAAGGGTGAAAAACAGGCACAAAAATCCACCTGATGGTGAGTAGATACGTATTTTCCATAGATATCTGTGATCGGTTAAGATTAACAATATAGACGTTATTACACCTCCGGGAATTTTTTTAGATATACTAATCCCTTGCTCATCAGTAAAAACATCTACGGTTCTTTCACTTACTATACAAAACACAACGGCATTATGCTGCGATTTAATGTTATACATACTTTCATTCCTCGGAAGCACTGTTACTTCACCAAAGCATGTTAGATCCACATACCACGTTAAATTAAGATTTATTTAAATATTATTAACTAAACACTAAAATAATAAAGATGAACCCTGAAGATTACTTATTGATTTAATAATTGCAAGAGTTTCCAAAAACTTTGAAATGGTCTTGTACTATATCTCCATTTTTAAAATGACAGCTATTACGTTTGCTATATATATATATATATATATATATATATATATATATATATATATATATATATATATATATATTCTTCTTGTTCTAGGATTGTTTAATTCTTATCTCTCTGTTTTGTTATTTACTCATTTCCTTCTAGGCAGTATTTATTGCCGTAAATTGCTTATTAAGCTTTTTAGTGAATAATATTGTACACGGAGAACGTAACGTATCGTATGACATGTTTCAATCAAAACCCACTCCAATCTTTTCCGGTATTGTATCTGTAATGTTTTATTAGCAATAAGAAAAAAGATTGAATAAAACTAAATTTATGGATTCTATCGCGTTTATTTAACTGATTTTACTTATTTTTAATTCCCGACGTTTCGGGTGCTTTACAGCAACCATGGTCACGGAGGGGGAATGAGATGTTTGAAATCCCAATGTCATCGTTAGCCCGGCTACTTTCAGTTTTTGAATATTAATTTTTGGTCCGATTTACACAAAACGAACTTACAGTATCTTGAAGTCTTGCAGTGGTATGCTTGGGTTTGGGTCTAATTTTGTTAATTATAGGATCCCAAGCAGATGGCAGCACCCAACCATCTTCTCTATTGAAATTAGGATGGTTTTTAATTTCAATAGCCTCGCGTATCA